ACCAGTGGCTGAGCTGCTCACAAAGTATGTTCAGACAGCTGCAGAACCTTCCAATTCCCGACAGAATCCAAGCAGGGGTTATGTCTGTCCCAGTAACCATATTCCCCAATACTCCAGAGATACCCAGTGACCCCTTCCAGCTGGTTCCAGTCACAGCCAGCTCCATGGCAATGCCCTCTGCAGCAGGAAGCACAGCACCCAGCTGGCTTCTGGAGTTTCCTGGGCTGCAAGCCCATGGTTTCCCTTTAGGGTGGGAATTTCTGCATTCTGATTTTCCCCTGCCGCACAAGAACTTTCGTAGATATGCCAGAGCAAGCTGACACAGAAAACCCACCAAAGCCTGCTTAATAAACATCTTTCTTCTACGCTACTTAACTACCCAGTTCTAATTATCATCTTCACCATCCCCTTCTCCTGAAAATAGTCAGCCTTTCTGAACAAAATCTGCTGAAGCTGCAAACATGAATTCTGCCTTACGTTTGCAATCATTTTAAAAAGCATCTTGAGACAGTAAAACCTGGCTCATCAGTTACTGAGCATACCCACCTGCTCAGAGAATTCCCAGAGCTGCAAATGCTTGTGGACATGTCCAGGGGCAGCAGCCAGTGGCTGGCACAAAGGGGTCGGTAACAAGAGGGCACTGAGCCCCAGCAGTTCTGCAGTGATTCTGCCCATAAACAGCTGCCTCCTGAAGGAGGTGAAGGGAAATCCTTTCAAAACCGAGCCGGGAATGATTGCTGCAAGCTGTTGGCCATCATGAGTCAACCCAGGAGCAAGATAGTACTGACACAATCTGTCAGYCTGTCCTTGGCTCCTCACYCTTCCCTCAGCCACACCCCTGAGAAAAAGGACAGCACAAAGTGCTCAGCTGCATCTTCACCCCAGCCCAGGGAGAATTCAGGGGTGCAGACAATCCTCCTTCTCCCCTAGCACATTCTGCTCACTCGTGCATGGTGAAGAGAGATGCTGCACGCTAAGGAAAGGCACAGTTGAGCTCAAAGTGTGCCTGCCAGCCGACCTGGAGGGGCTGCCAGCACCCAGTGGCTTTCTGGCAGCAGAATCCTTCCCAAGAGCTCCGTGCTGGCAGCACAAGTATTCATTTCATGAKGGTTAGTTTGTGATCTTGCCATGCTGCCCTGCTATTTCTGAACAGCGGGGCTGTAATCGAAGGCGTCTGAGGGCCCAGGAGAGAAGGGAGCTATTACACTGCAGAGTTCCTGTGGTGTCCATGGCCTCTGCATGGCAGGATTCAAGCACAGCCTTTGTGAGGGTTTGGACACTGGACCCAAGAAGGGGCTGCAGAGCTTTCCCTTTCCTGTCCATTTCTGCCTGTCAGCCCCTCACAGCTCCAAAACTCAAGCATTATTTCTCTAAATGAAATGCTTTGGAAACAACACAGGGTCTTCAGAATGCTCATCAAAAAGGGCCACCCCAACCCATCCCAAGAGACCCGGCATCACTGGCTCTACCTTGGCACTCTGGCCTTACAGAATTCCTGACACAAGACAGTTCTGCACACCTGAGGGGCAGCTATTGAGAAAAAGGGGATTCAAGGGATTGGTGTTACAGGCATCGAAAGCTTCCACATTTACATTCTGATTCCATTCTTTCCTCTGATCCTGCCATAGCTCATCAGCTGCATAACCTAAATCACAGCCAGTGATGTTGCACCAACACACCCTACATACATCAGAGACCTGATGGTTGCCAAAATATTAGGCTACCTGGTGTTAAAAACAAAGCAATTCATTCAGAAATAGAGTACAGATGTAACATTCTGCACCTCCATTATATGCTGGCCTAACTGCAGGCCTTAGTCCACTCTGAGAAGAAACAGGCTGCAAGCTTCTGCTGCTCATCAGAGCCAGCTTTTGTGACAGGAAAAAGACAAGCTAAAATAATGTGATGTAGTCTTCCCTGTTAGCATCATCTGCCACTCCTCCTCTGGCACATTCCAGTACCTTGGCTGCTGCTTTAGGGAACCTCTCTTTGTACAACTCCCAGTGCTTTCATGAGCAGCAAGCAGAGTGGAAAAAAAGCAGCAGTCCAAGGTACCAGAACATGATTTCCTCGGCATGTGAACTGCTGGACAGTACTGTGCTGACATTTCAGTCACAGAGAGCACGGAATACGTCACAAGAACATGAGGTTGCTGCTGCTGTAGGACAGGGCTGAGACTCTTTATCCATCTTTATCAAGAAGTAAAGACAACATTTCACTCCACTGCAGCCAGGTCAGCTTGGAGCAGACCCTCTCATTGCTATTCAGTGGCACTTACCCTGCACAGGCAGCAGCTCCTCCCKGCAGGACAGGAGTGGGTGAACTCCAACAGCCTGCAGCCGGCTCTCAGTGAGCAAGGAAAGGACAAGTTTCTACCTAGGGGCACCACCATCCCAGAAAAGTTTTATTTCCACCTCTGCACAAATTGAGTGGGTCTTAATCAGAACTAGTGCCAACAGAGATGGCAGAGATCAGCTCCTGAGGTGCACACACACACTGAGCCAGGGTCCCACAGCCCTCTGCTCATGTGTTCCCTCCGTGTTCAGATGGGCTGTGCTGCATCCTCCTCACTYAGGATGGGATGGTCACACTTGGTGCTGTTGCCATGGGGCTACAGGAGGAGTGATGCTCACCCTGCCCTAGTGACACAACTGGTGTAGGGACAGGTACATCCACAGAATTAGCTCATTTGAATTTTATGACCAGCCACTGCAGCTGGTCAAAAAATCAAACCCATTCCTCACCTGAGATAGCTGTTTCACAGTGCCCTTCACTAAYAACCACTCTTCTCCCTCATCTGCACAGACCATACCCACATGTGTGTTCAATGCCCCAAATTCTCTCTTAGAGATATTACAAGCATGTCAAATCCCAGCTACACCTGCCCTGTGCTCTGGACACAAACATGACAAAACAGCTCAAACTTCTCCCCACACTGAGGAGACACACACAGCCTTTGCTCAGCACAATCCTGTGTTGTAACAGGAGCTGCACAGGCTCCCTGTGTCAAGGAAGACAAACAGGAGAGGCTGTCCCAAGTAAACTCTTGAGTCCCTGGGAGCAGCTGAGATCCTTCCCCACTCAGCTGACAGCTTCCCTTCCCCAGCCCTGCGTGGGGGAGGACAGACCTCAGCGCTCCAGACAGACCCTCTGCAACCTCCTCCTCCTCGATTTATGGGCGACACGACCCAGCAGAAGGCCCTGCTACAAACATTTGCTCCAGCAGCCTCAGAACCTGACAGTCCCTCCAAAGACAGCAGTATCCYGTACAAAGGAGCGCTTTTTACCTTTTCTGCCAATTCTCTGTACAGTCAGGGGTAAAACAATTACCTCATTACAGTCACACACCAAATTCCCTTCTGCTGGAATTCACATCAGCCCTACTGCAACTTTATAACGTTTGCATTATAAAAATGTCTGCAAAGGAGGCCAAGAAAAACAGCTTTTTGTTCAGAGGAAGCTCTGTGGTCAAGATGATGTCATCAGAAAGCGCCAAATTAATTTCCTGTGGTTACATCCTACAGGAAATCCAAGAAGCTCAGCTTTCTTGCTAAACCAAGTAGTCATTTGTTGTCAATAACTGTTAATTATGTGTCCAGATGTGTCATGAACTAAGGACTGTCACGATTAGCCCTCATTCCCTGGACTCCCCTTAGATGGACCAGTGAGATCTGTTTAAATCAGTGGCCTGAAGATCAGGCAAAATGTCTCAGGCCAGCYTGGGGTTCTGGGGCTGCTGTGCTCAGGCCAGAACAGGAATTCTCCTGCTGGAGAATTCTCACAGTGGGAGCTGTGCTGGTGCACAAACCCCACGGAAGTACAGCAGCCACATAGGTTACCCTGTTAGCAGCAACAGGGACCCCAATCAAGGAAACTGTAAAAACAATGAGGAGTAAAGTTTTTATGCTCTTCATTAACAGAAACAAGGAAATCGGGAGAGATTCAGGAGGTCTTCCAGCTGGTAAAATAATCAAGAAAATGTCTAGCAAGTCTGTCCCCCAGCAACAGTACTTCCACAACCWACTGAACGATGCATTTCTCCAAGGCTTACTTGATATTTAACTTACTAAGTAAGTTAGTAAAGCAGTAAAGCACTCAACAAATTCTAGCAGATCTTTTCCACAACTTACCAGTGGGAAACTCATCTTCATCAGATTTTAAATCTCCCCCAGATTTGCCTGTGCTTACATGAATTCTCACCTGCCTTGCTGCCTGTGCCTGCCATATAACCACCAGTCTCCATTTTCCCATTCACAGGRGAGGGGAATCCCTGGAGCAGGGGATAGGTTTTGTATCTCTAATGTGCACTAAAATATGTTTCTGYCCTTACAGTGAACTTTAAGTAGCAATCCCTTGGGACAGCCTCTCCAGTCCGTGCAGCCCWTTTCCCTGCACTGGCAGGGAGCCCAGCACAATGGCTCAGGAATCAAATGGTCAAGGCAAAGCARATTCTGCACAATTTGTTTTCAGGTTTGCGTGAGTTTTTTTTGTTTTCTCTGGTTTTTAGTCTTAAGCGTATTTTATGTACACACTGGGGACAGGGATGGAAAAGGTTCAACTTAGGATGCAGCTTAACAGAGTCTGGATCAGCAGCACCTGTAAAACTGGGAAACCTGCTGAGAATAGCAAGGGCACAGCTGCAGCAACATGGCACTGACACTGACCCAGCAGCAGCTTCAACCCTGGAGCCCAGAGCTTGTGTGCTGTGGGAACACGGATGGAAAGGGAGAGRGAGGCAAAAGAACCTGCTCAGAGCMCWGASACTAGAGATGGGGGAGGCAAAAGGACAAACCAGYATTCTGMCCYTTGCACTCACACATCACATCTACCTGTACAAAGACTTTCCTTAACAAAAAACAAGTGGACACTCAGGAAGAGAAGTCATGCAGCCTCCAAATTCTTGAGTAAAACACGGCAGACAGACAAGGCTTTTTGAAATGTTCTTATCTGTCTGGAAAACCAGGCAGTGCAGACTACCAGCTATTTAAAAGGTTTCCTACCTCTCTGTCCTTGAGCTTCATGGCAAGCACCAGCTGATGTCTGTGGTTAGTRAGGGCTTCCCGGTAATTTCCTTTAGAGAAGAATGCAGAGCCCAGATTTCCATGAGCTCGGCATTCTCCCGTCTGGTCACCTGTGTCCCATGCAAACAAAAGATTGTTAATACAGGCACTGTATCAGACTGAGTACTTTTGCCTATCAAATACTTGGAAAAGCTGATGGTTTCATTTAAGACTCATGAGAGGTTTTGAGCSCAAGTCTACACAAGGAATAAGAGCAGTTCCCACATACATGACAGCACATCCATTGATCATCTGCCCCTTCACACAGGCAGGCAAACAGGGATGCACAAACGTGCAGCCTGCACATTTCAGAAGCTCCAGATTGGATTTAGCAGCTTGTGAAAACCCACAGAAATGGGAGCATTTGAGAGAGATGCTGATCATTAACCTAGATCTTGTTTGGCCTGTCCCAACCCAGCCCTCAAGGAATGAAAGGAGAATTCTTACCTAAACTCTTGGCTACGTCCAAGTCCTGCTGCATGTATCCAGTGCTTTTCTCTGTGTTCCCAAGGGACCAGTAGGCACTGCTCAGTGCAGAGAACACCGATCCCCGCAGCTTCAGGCTGCAAGTGCCAATCTTCAGGGCAGCCTCTAGCACCACCACAGAGGCCCCGTGGTGGCCTGCAGTCAGGAGCTCCTGGCCGATCACAGACACCACAACAAAGGGGCTCTTGTCCAGCTTCATCTTCTGCAGTTGTTGGTAGGTGGGCTCCAGGGACTCTGAAGCACAAAAAYGAAGACAGAGGTACTCAGCAAACCAAGTTATTTGCATCAGGAATTGCCTTAACAACTCCTCTTGATCTTTTCATAAACAAATGACCCATGACTTAAGGGCCAAACAGCCCAAATCCAACAAAGATTTATGAAGGGAGCTTGGGGCTCAAAGCTACCATCTAAGATCTGGCACATCAAGACAGATCACCTGGCARTCCACTGTTTGCCTTGCAGAAAGCACTTCAGGAAGGCAGCACAAGCACAGAGCTTAGGGCAGCCTCATACTGAGGTCTGAATGGCAGAAGGAATACAGAATACCTATGGAATTTTGTAAGAAACTGGAAATGGGCCATCTGCAGTGTCTAAGAGCATTGCAGTTTTTTCTCCCTCAGCACAAACCTTAAGACAAACRTCTGCCAAGTCTGTGCCTGTCTGGATACCCAAGCTTGTGATGTGTGCCCAGAGAGGTGACCAAAACTGCAGAAAACAGCTGCTCCTTCTGTAACAGACAGAGATACTGCAGAATGACAGCACTGGACCTGCCCAACTGCTTCCAATTCTCTAAATGCAGCAGGGAGCACAGCTGATATACAGCTGCAAGGCAAAAGGCAGAGATCATCCTGCCAAATTTGGGGATGCTCCCACAMAATAGCACATAACCTGCATTCTAAGCAGCAGCCTTGGTACCTTTGGGTAGCAAAGGAAATTGCATTCACCAGGTAACTGCTACATAGGACAGAAGCTTCCAGATGAATTCCTTTTGGAGGATGGAGAAAAACACTAAAAAAGGAAACACCAACAAGGATATTTTTTCATTTCAGTGCTCCTTGGCTTCTAAGCCCTGTAGCCYCCAGCACCATCTGCTGAGGATAAGAATCGCCATGTTCCCTCCTGACTAACAGCATTAGGGCATTGCAGCACAAAGCCTGCAAGAGAAACAGAGGAGACAACCCCCTTCCTCCTCTAGAGRAAAAAACCCTGCAATGGGGACATTATGAAAGAGAAGCAAAATGCTGCACAGCTCATATGGCTTCAAGGTCTCTGTGATTTCAAACACTGCCTAAACAGAAGTGAATTAGCAGAGCAGCCTTTCTGCCTTCTGGAATGCTGTGTTTTGGGAGACATTAGTACCACAGAAAAGCTGCTGATGTGCTCTTCTGGGCAAACGCTGGCCTGGAGCATTTCAGATGTGCTGTCCCTCATCAAAACATTGTGGGAAGTTGTTCCAGTAACAGCCACAGCTAGGACCACAACAGCACCCACCTCGGCCTGCACTGATACTGGAGAGAGGAAAAATGAACAGGGACTCCATGGGAACTGCTGTACAAACCCCAGTTTATCCCCAGTGCCCCTCAGTGCTATCACCATCTTATTGTCCATCCTACTCAACCAGACGGAAGTTTTTGTTCCTTCTGCAAGTGGCTCCATGCTTGGTACTCTCCTGTCACAGCAGAGGATCCAAATCTTGAAATCTTCCCCTTCAGGCCTGCAGATTCTCCTCTCTTGAGATGCTGAGAGAGCCACCATGGATGGAATCCCACACCTCTGGGTACCCCACAGCAGGTCACAGCCCTGAGAAAGCCGCAGTGCTTACCTCTCATGGGAGATTTCATGGCGGCCTCCACCATGCCAACCAGGAGCTGGAGGCTCTTGGGGTCCTGCGCCAGCCCCGAGGCAAAGGCGGCCAGAGCATCCGCATGGCGTCCCAGGTACTGCAGGGCCACGCCCTGTCGGAAGTATGCCTGCAGGAAAACAGCAAGGGCCATCACTGAACAGCACAAATAACACTGCTGTCCTGACCCTGTGCTGCTGGACAGCACGCCACACCATCACACTCTGCCTTCTCTGCTCACGCTGGCTGCAATCAAAGCCACCCAGCACCACAGTCTGGTTTGGGAGCCCTACCAGTGTGTACACCCTCATTGTGATCACCTTTTCGGTTTGAGCAAGGCCGCTGATCTGTTTTGGAGACCACGGTTGGTCATACTAGTATGGCAAAGCTTTCTTCCTGGACATGGTCAAATGCTACCTCTTAACCACTTACAACCAGATGTTTATTTTTGAGACTCTCCTTTCCAGTCTTGGCTCACAGAAACTTGCACTCAATATACATCAGGTATACATCTGAACAAGTCTTTTTATTAAACAGGTGAAATATTTAATTAATGTCTGAACTGGTATTTCAATAGAGCATTCAGGCTCTTTTGGACTCCAACCCAGGAAGGCAGAGATTAAGGAAAATCAGAAATGATGTGAGAAATTTAGAGCATGAATATTTAATCTCTTTTCCATTAGTAAGCCTTGATTGTAGAACCTCTTYTAATGAATTCAATGAAAGTAAAATGCTTTTCATTAACCTTTACTATAAATGTGTTCTTATTGAACCAAACAAGCCACTGTACTGGAAACYCAATTCAGTGCTAACTAGATTACAAGCATGAAGCTTTAAATCAAAGAAAATACAAAGAACTAACAACACACAGCGGCCACCAAGCACAAGTCCTCCCAGCAGTGAATGAGCTGTCACCTAAATCATGCTGTACACTTTTAAGTCTGTTTTTTGCAGAATTATCATCTAATTACTTTCTTTACTGCCTGATGACAGAGGGAGTTGGACACAGCACGTCTCTGACTGGGGCCTTTCCAGCCCACAAGGCTGGTTGGTCCAGGACAGCTGTGCCTGCCTGATTCAGCTCTCTAGAAGGGGGGCAGGGACACACAGCCACTGGCACCGATGGTTTGTGGGCATCTTGAGCACCTTGTGCTTCACTGGCACATCTGGAACGCTGAGAAATCACAGTGCCCATCCTCTGAACCCCACACATGGAGGAGACACACAGGCTCCAGGTGACAGGAGCAAGACCCACGAACACACAGCTCAGTTCCGCACATTCTGAACAGYCTTTACGGAAAGGGTTTTTATCCGCTCCCCACATCTATTCCTGGAAGTGCCCCTGGAAACCACTTCATTTGAATACAAACACAACATTCAATGCCAAAAGAAAAASCTATTAATCATAACAGAAAGGAAGATTTTGGCCTATTTTTCTCCTGCAAAAAACCCTTCCTTCCTTCCTCTTCCAGTTTTCAGCATACACAAGAATGCTCTCCGCACATTGTGTTCCCCACGGACCTTCAACTAAATAAATAAAAAGCATTCACATCACCTWCTTCCTCCCCAAGAGGCATTCACAAGTTAGTTTAGCACTGGAATGAAGACACTGTATCAAGGGGAAAAGTCTGCAAAGAGGAAATGGTGAGAATCACCCTTTGGAAGACAAGAGGAAAAGRGAAGGCAGGGAGCCAGCAGCTGCAGCTGAAGGAATGAGCCAAGGAGCAGCTCCCGATCCCGACACAAACAGAGCCTTCCCATGCTGAGCAAGCTTTAAATTTTAAATCACATTTTGTGAAGATACTACAGTGCTCACTCTACAATAACTGTTACATTAATTTTCCAAATAAGAAAGAATGATCAATTCCTTTCAAGAAGATTAAAGCAAGGAGAGAGACAATGTTTCACAGAAGACAAAACAGAAACAGCAGGTRTTTTCTAACCTGGCTCCCTGCATCCTCAGTGCAATACAGACAGCTGGAGCCATCTCTTTCATTTTTGCAGYCTCTGCGTCACACTTTCCACGAACAAGGCACTGTGCAAGAAGAAAGCCTCACTCTCAGCTGAAATTTGGCACTAGATGTATCTCCCTCAATGGGAACTCTTTTTTCCTRTCCCTGTGTTAGCAGGATGGACACSGCTGTGCTGYTCCCACCTCCAGAGCAGGTCAGGGGTTCCCACCACCTGCACCCACCCCTGGGCCATCAAGTGAGCATTTCCACAAACCTTTGAGAATCAGACACCAGTGCAAGCTCACACAGAGAGATGGGCTCAGYCTTCTGTACAACAAGCTGCCCAGTTACCCAATTTCAGACAGCCAAGGGAAGGAGGGAGGACAAGGAACAGATAGTGCTTTTTATCCATAATACATTTGAAAACACTGTTGATGTTCTGGAAGCAAAAATAAGTTATTCTAATTAATTAACTGGCAAAATATATCTGRCACTTAAGATTTCTGAGGCGTGCAGGACAATGTTTTTTTAATGGAGACTGCTCACACTGTTGGGTCCAGGACAGAACCCAGAGAGGTGAAGCTGCATCACTCCCAGCACAGGAACCCTGCCAAGGGTAAAAAGTCTTCCCCCCTCATTCAGGTTTTGCCACCCATTTTTGCAGACTTGCCTTTTTGCCCCAAGCTTTTCAGAGCTTTACATGTTTTCACGGCTAGAAATAAGGTTTTTTAGTGCTTTTCTCCACCGTCAACTTAATTTTCCAATTGCCCTCGTCCAGGGCAGYTCTGCAGGGAAAGCTGGTGGCCGTTCTGTAGCAGAGTCAGCATCTGCCCAGCCAGGCACAGCCCCTCTCTGCAATTCTAAGCACGARCCCTATGTTTTCTGCTCAATTTACTGACCTGTGTAGTTTCTGTACACACCAGTCTTTTCCATCTGTGTTTATTATAGCCCATTAAATGGAAAAGGAGAATTTCTATCTGTTCTACTAGGAGCTGCCACTGGACTGATGGCTGCAGTGTCCAGGCAACACAAATAAACATGCTTATTAGATTTTGATCTTCATCATCTGAGATCCCATCTAGGTAACTGTCTAGACCCTGAATATTAGATTTCCCTGTGCAATCTAACACAGGATTAGAATGCAAATGTCATCACTAAATGGCCAATATCAAGAGGGGTGCTGAAATTTTTATTACCTCTTCTAATATCAATTAGGCAACAGTAACTGTTAGTACAAAATACGCAAAGGAGATAAAAATACAGTACAAAGAAACAGCAYGTAAGAATATGAATGGGACCTCTAAGTCCGCCAAGACTTGGCTAAATAAAACCAAGCCTAGTAAAGAAAAAACAAGACAACTCAGTGCCCACAAGGAATGCAGCAATAGAGACAACACCAGATTTGGGATCTCCCCCATGCCCAGGAGCTMCTGTGCCTCCTCCTGCAACCCCCTTTCTGCAGGGATCCCACAGCCACAGCTCRATGCCCTCCTGCCACACTGCCCTGCTCCCCTGGTCCCTCTGCCACCAAACCTCACACCACAGACTCRTGGCCAACATTAACTGAATAAAGGAGACAGAGGAACAAAACTGGAACAGCATCAAAAGAACTTGGAGCAGAAAATGACTGTCAAACAAACATGAAAAATTTGGAAAAAAAGTGCCTTGGTCTTAGACAAAAGCTGCCATTGTACACAGGGGAGGAAATTCAAACTATCTTCATGCTGCTGTCAGCTTCGGACCCTGGACAGCCGGCCATCRGGGCAGGAAAGGCAAACACACAGAAAATGCTTCTTCCATAATGCTTCCTTGGTTTGCCAGATCAGGAGACGATGCCAAAAATAGCAGGAATAATCTATGATGCATTCAATGCCTGTTCTGAGTCTGCAGAATGCAGTCAGACCCACTGGCCCTCGTGGCTGCCCACGCCAGCTGGGCCCACGGCTGACCAAAGCTGTGCAAGGGACCAAGAGAAGGGAGGGAATGTGTGAACAGCTGCCACAGCTTCTCAGGGCCAAGCACCAGGTTGAATCCGTCTTCTCCCTCTGTAACTGTTTTACGGCCAAATTTTAGAGAAAAATAYGGACAAATCTCTGCTGTGGGATTTCAGGAATGTGAGGAGAGGGAAGACTGCACTTTAATTCAGAACACATGTAGCACATGCATAAGTACTGCTGCTGACCACATTCCTGCTTACCCAAAATTAAGGTTGCACCCCAGGTAACACTTTTCCTTCACAGTTTTACACCTGGCTGACAYGTGAACCACAGCTGTCAGCCTGCCCTGGAGAACCAGCACAACAGATTTGTTGTCTCTGCAGCTTTGTTTATTTATCTTCTACCTGTTTCTAAGGTGCCTCTTACAGAGCCACATTACTAAGAAATGGAAATTTCCTCTAAGCCTCATAGAGCCTATAGAGAAAAACAAGATGGGTGTGAGTGTAAAGTATCTTGCCTCGTTTTATCCAAAGAGCATTTAATCATTCTTATAAATTGTGCTTCCACTGCCTGCTAGTGAGATTCTGCACACAGATCACTTGCCCACCTGAAATAAATCGAATTTAATCAGCAAAGAAAGAGACAAACCTTTATTTACTTAGCTGAAGTAAACAGGCCAGCTTTCCACAGAGCTTATCCTTGTTGCTCCATTCTCACATGTTTCAGGCTCACTCTAGGGACAACAGCTACATCTTGAAACCCCTCTTCAGAGAACATCACTCTCCTTCCCTAAGAGCAGGTGCCAGCAGAAAATCTTCCTGTCTTTACCAGTTACAACTCTTAACCCTCATTTGACAGCAAGAATCAGCCATGAGTGGAGAAGAGTGCTCTAGAGCAACCTGTAAGTGCCCAAGAACAGCAMAAGGAAAACAGAACCAGCCTCTTCTGTCTAAGGCCACAGCATCTGCTACAGTTCCTCTGCAARTCAACAAGGACAGTTTGGAACAATTTTTGGCCAAACAACTTCTTTCAGAAATGGCAGAAGAAAAGACATTTTTTAATCCTGCTCAGAAGTAACACCAGTCTTCATAAGATATTATTAGAAATATAACAGATACAGAATTATACAAAATTCAAATTAAATAGATTGGCTGACAGCCATAGGTGGCTTCTCAGGAAAGCTTGGGGCAGAGCAGGGCTGGTTTGAACACCATTCCTAAGCTACATCCCATCTTACCAGT